CAAATATAATATCGTATGCTCAAAAATTATTGAGAGTTCGGCAGGCTGTCAGAGAGAAAATGATGGAGAGATTTTCCCGCCTTTCCAATAAATTTGGGGCAGGGCGCGGGCACTTTGGGCGAGAGTTACAATATACTTGAAAAAAAAAAACTGCCCCAATGAAAGTGGGCGTTGTTCCAAGAGCGATAGCTCCGTAGAATATTAAGAGACCATCAGGCTATTTAGGTTAGGTATTTCAAAGGTAATAATTATTTAGGAGTATATATGTCGCGCGTTAATTTAGAGATATATTTCTTGACGGGCATAAAGCCAGAAGCCCGACTAAGGGAGCATTTTTGCCAGTTTGCCTTTTTGAGGCCTTTTATTTTATTTCCAATTTCCAGCTCCTTTAGTCATTTTATGATTTTTGAAATAGCATTTTTTAATGCTAAAAAAAATAATGGATTCTTGAGGTGTAAACAGAAATTCGAGTTCATCAGGAGAAGAGGACAAGATAGCTTTTTTTTTGAGGCCCAGAGAGTAATAAAAAATATGTACATATGTGAAAAATGCAATGCGTAACAAATACTATTTTCAAAGTAAGTTGGGCTCTTTCTCTCTTCTTTTTTAAGTAGCCTATAGCCTTTTCTGGTTGTTTTTAAACTCATATAATTTTTTCATTTATAAACTTCCGGCAACACTGGTGACAAGTGTGGCAGGAGCACCCATGCGGAGCGATGGATTGTGCGCGCCATAAAATACATATTTTACTCTCTATCCTGTATGGAAATATTAACTACATGCTTTCTTTGCTCTCACTTTACTAAAACGCACTCCACTCTCATTTTTGGTTTCCATACCATTTCCAGGGGTGGTATGTGGATAACTTTTAGCCGCGATGGATCCCAGTGCTCTACAAAACATGGATCGGGACGCATTGAAAAAGCAAATTGAAAACATGAAATACCAGGCATCGATGGAGCGATGGCCGTTGTCTAAAAGTATTGCAGAGTGAGTATTTAATTTTTGTAAATTTGTTATTGTGACTCAAAAACAAATGATGTTTATTTAT